GATGTTGGACTACCGGTTTTAGCCCGATCCCCGCCAGCCAGGCCAAGGGATCCCACATGCTGGAGGGACCTGCTCCCTCCGCAGACACCCTTCAAGCCACTGTGCTGCCCCAGGTGCGGCCAGTTGGGGAGGGACCAAGAAAAGTTGGCTCCAGAGTGTGTCCAGCCCATTTCGCCCAGTCCCACCCCACCAGCCACCTTCTAATTAATTTCCTTTCAATGTGCAAACGCAGGAGCTGCCGAGCAACAGCAACTTTGCACAGTGCCCTCTGGGACCCCTCGAGGGATGTTGGACTACCGGTTTTAGCCCGATCCCCGCCAGCCAGGCCAAGGGATCCCACCTGCTGGAGGGACCTGCTCCCTCCGCAGACACCCTTCAAGCCACTGTGCTGCCCCAGGTGCGGCCAGTTGGGGAGGGACCAAGTAAAGTTGGCTCCAGAGTGTGTCCGGCCCATTTCGCCCAGTCTCGCCCCACCAGCCACCTTCTAATTAATTTCCTTTCAATGTGCACAAATCCATCACTGGGCCTCTAGTTTTTAAATATATTTTTATTGATTTCAGAGAGGAAGGGAGAGGGAGAGAGATAGAAACATCAATGAGAGAGAATCATTGATTGACTGCCTCCTGCACGCCCACTACTGGGGATCGAGCCTGCAACCCAGGCATGTGCCCTTGACTGGAATGGAACTCGGGACCCTTCAGTCTGCAGGCCCATGCTCTATCCACTGAGCCAACCCGGCCAGGGCATACCCTCTCTTTTCAACAGGCTTGCAAAACCAGCTGGGCTCTGGCAGCTGACATTGTGAGAGCAATTTCTCAGGGTTACCACCAGGCCACCGACATAAAGGAATGTACATGGCTGGCCCGGATCTTGTATAATGCGATTTGTATGAGAAACATCTTAGGTATCTTTCGAATGATCTTCTCCTAAGAGCTGCCCTCCGGGCCAGCTGTGCCGCAGACCCAGCCCCCAACATGGCCAGCTGGGCGCTGGCCCACCTCTGTCCTTCGGAAACACGGGGGTTCTTGGAGGGAGATCTTTGTCCTCGTCTCAGGGACGCAGCAGGCATTCGGCAAGGAGATCTCTGCGTTTGCTTTAGACTTTGGCTTCATGTTTTAACAAAAGGTTCTATTATAGTTTGTAAAATGTTATCATTTAAAAGCTTGCGCCACGCCTGTGGCCTGGAGTGGGGAGGGGATGGGGAGAGGGGAGAGGAATGCCCTGTGGCTGGGCAGGAGTCCCCCAGCCCCAGCACAGGAGGGAGCCCAGCGCCCCGGGGCCTGGTGGGAGCAGCCACTGACCCGGGCAGGCTGGCCTGCTCTGCACCTCTGGTTGGAGACAGAGGAGCTTGGGCCTGCTCAGGGGCTCTGCAGCTTTTTAAAGTAACAGAGCCCTTTCACCCAACCACACCTCCTGCACGTGAACAAGGGGAGTGCTGGGCGAAGTGTGTGTGCTGCCCACTGCCCCAGTGACACGCACTCGGTCTTCTGTTCCCGGGAGGGACGCAGCACTGTTGACCTCTTTCTTCCCTCCGCCCACGTGGGCCCGCAGCTCAGGGAGCACTTCCGCCTAGAAGTCTTCCAGGGCTGCACCTTCTCGGGCCAGTGCCTGGAGCTCCAGGAGGACTGTCCTCCTGCGGAACCGGAGTCAGGGCTGAGCGAAGATCCGTGTCAGTGCCACCGCAGTGTCGGGGGATGGAGTGTGAGTGCAGATGGCACGGCCCCCAGTCGCTGGGTCTTACCAGGCAGGTGTGGGGTCTTTGGGGTGGGTCAGACCCTGGCAAGTGGGCAGCTTGTCCCCGGCCCCAGAGGCCCTCTTCCCCGCTCAGCTGCCTCCCTTGGCCCAGGCACACATCGCCCTGGCCTGGCCGCAGCCTTGGCCCCGAGGCCGCCGTCCCTCAGGCGTCACCAAGGACGGGAGGCAGGAAGCACATGGCAGGTCACTGTGACTAGACTGACCGCATGGACTGCTCTTTGGCTTTTCCGAGCCAGGGAACCTTCCTAATGACCTGGGGGCCCTTTACCTGCAGCTGCAGCCGGAAGGGAGGTGATGGAGGGAGGGGCGTGTTCTCTCCTGCCCCGCCCAGGGCTGGAACCTCCAAGGAGCTCGCAGACTAGTCCACGCCCTTGTCTGTGGTCTCTGCTCTTGCTCTCAGGGTTGCTAGAGCTGCCCAGGGGCCTGGAGCTGTGGCAGCTGCAGCCAGGGCTCTGCTGGGAGGGAGCAGGGGCCCCTGGGGTTCCGAGGCATCTGGAGGCCAGGTCCTCACACAGGCTTCCCACTGGAGGGGATGTCCCTGGGGTAGTAATTGCCCCCATTCTGAGCCAGGGCCCTGGGGACCCCCATGCTTCCCCAGAATGTGCAGGGGAGGAAGTGGGTGCTGGGCCTCTGGGTGGCCCTGTGATGCTCAGCATCCTCTCGCCTGACCTGCCACCCCTCCTGCCCTAGGTGGGTCCTGGACCCGGAGCCCAACTACCAAGGCACACACCTGGGGGCGGGGGGGGGGGCACAGCTTCTCCGGCTGGGAGGCCCCCAGTACTTGTGCCCAGTCCCTCCAAAGGGCTGTCCACCTCTAACTGGGCCGCCACTGTCGGGCCAGGCCCAGGAGCAGCCAGGACAGGGGTAGTCCCTTCCAGCCACCGTGTGGCCTGGGGACCACGGGGAATAAAAGTCATCAAAGTGGAGAGTGAGCGGCCTGAATGATGTCTCTGTCCTTCCTGACATGAGAGCACTGGACGGGGGGCTGGCGGACTCCCAGGGAGGCCCAGGGGCCCGAGAGGGCGGGGAGGGCACTGGGAGGCAGCCACAGGGGGACATGAGGGCTGGAAGGGACCCTTTCATTTCACAGGGGAGCCCAGGCCTGAGTGGAGTGATTGCCTAGGCCCCAGAGCAAGCTCCCCGGGAGCCAGGACAGGCCAGGGTGCTTCTCCGGCCCCTGGGCACCCCCTCCCAGTTAGGGGACACCAGGAGGGAGGAAGTGATGACACAGGGACAGGGATGGAGAAGTGACGGGAGGGCCTGAGGCTCCTCCAGGCTGTGCCTCTCTCTGACTCAGGGACACGGTGACCCCCGTGCTCTCCTCTTGGCCTCGGGTTTACATGGCCACCGGCCCCCTGAAAGGATGGGCTGACCCCCAGGGACACTCACTCCTTCCAAGCTGTAAGGACAAGGAAATGGGGGTGGGGGTGGCAGCCCAGGCGGCTGTTGCATGAACAGGTGGGCTCAGCGGGGATGGCGGGGAAGGGACCTGTCAGGGCTGAAGGGGACACAGTCTCCACTCCAGCCCCACCCACAGGTGAGTCCAGGAACTTCTCTGTGGCTGGACCCCTCCAGGACCCCGCGTCCATCCTGTTGGGAGTGGGGGCACCGCCTCTGGGGGGAGAGGGAGGAAAGAGCCTGCCCTGGAGGCAGCGGGATTTCTGAGAATATGAGGGTCCTTGTCCCCAACACCGTCCCACTCACACTTGAGGGGAACGTTCCGAACACTGGGGTCTTTCCTGCAACTGCCTGACCTCCAGGCCCTCCAACCTCCACAGCAGGAAGGAGAGGAGGGTCAGCAGACCTCTAGGACCTCACGCCCTTTTAGCCGTGGTGACGTCAGTGAGCATTTAGTGAGCACCGACGGCGTGCCACACTCTACTAGCAGAATCTGTATAGTTTTACTTACGAGGCACAATAACACCAAGACTGTGATACGCTTGTTGTCACTACTGCAAACGAGGGCAGCTGGACACAGGGCGTTTGAGCAACTTGCCCATGGTCACAGAGCAGGCGGGATTCAAACCCAGGTCGGGTGGGTCCCTTTGTCCTACCCCTCTCTTGCACATATCGGCGCATCTGACAACAGTTACGTTAACAGGAGTCCCACCCAGTAGTGATGGCACCCTACTGGCAAAAGCATTGTTCCCTGTACCGCCTCATTCGAACTCCCTGTGACTGGAGAGGAATAGAAGCTGGGCGTCCCTGCCCTGGAATAGGGCTCATGGGGAGAAGCAGGACATGGGGGGAACTGGGAGTGAAGTGTATTAGTCAGCTTGGGCTGCTGTAACAAATATCACCACTGAGAGGTTAGAGAACAGACATTAGTTTTCTCATAATTCTGGAAGCCAGAAGTCCAAGATCAGGTCAGCAGGCTTGGTTCCTCCTTAGGCGCCTCTCGTTGGTTTATAGAGAGCTGTCTTCTCTGTGACCTTCTCTCTACATGTGTCTTGTCCTATCTCTTAAGGGCACCTGTCATGTTGGGTTAGGGTCCGTACTAACGACCTCAGTTTAGCTTTGTCACCTCGGTGAAGATCCTCTGCCAAGGACAGTCACATCTTGAGGTTCTGAGGGTTAGGACTTCAACATATGAAGGGGGAGGGACTCATCTCAGCCTATAATCTGAACCAAACAGCTTCTCCAGCCCGTTTCCTGCTCTGTGGAATGACTGCAGTCCTATGTTGTTCCAGCTGTATATAGTTGTAGGAGCCAAACCAGTCACCCATGAGAAGGTGCTGTGTGGAGAGTGGTTATTAGTCGTAAGTGACGCGCTCGATGGCCCCTGGGTACATCGGGGGACCAGGGAGAAGCATCTGCATCACGTGAGAGAAGAGCCCGGTTAAGAGCGAGCTCTGGGTCTGGGTTCTGACTCCTCCGTGGACACACTGACCCATGCCTCAGTTTCCCCAGCTGTATGGTGGGGATATCCACAGCACCCCCTCCTAGGGGAGTAAATGGAAACTACGGATGAAGGAAGCCCTCCCACTGGCCAGCTCCCCAGACGCCAGGGTTGCAGCCCCTCGGAGCATTCCAGAGTTTTCCCTGAACCTGTCCTCGCTCCCAGGGCTGAGCTGGCCGCACCTCACCAAGTGTCGATGCAATGCTCCAGGATAGGCTGGTGCTCCCGGGCGACCCACCCCCGCTCAGCCCAGCCCCCTGCTCCCTAATCTGTCAGCAAATCTGCTTTTGTCTGAAAGAAGGAAAACAAGATTCCCACCAGAATGCTTGCAGGCAGCCTGTCCAGGGGGTCGGGGACCCAGGGCCAGGCCTCTGAGGAGTCACATGCTTCACATATTTGTCTCCGCTCTGTGGTTTGGGAAGCTGGGCTCTCAGGGCGCCACCCTGCATGTCCTCAGCCCCGGTGCCCCTGCCCGCTGGGCGCTGCTGACCAGGCCCCCACGTGTGGTGTTTATCAGGTCTGAGCACAGAAAACCTCCTCCCCCTGGAGGCCCGCAGAGGTTCCCGGGCAGCAGGGGGCTGGCCCAGGAGCGTTCTGTCCACCTGTCCCCTCCCCCGACTCCAGCTGAGCCCAGCTGGCCCCCCAGCCCATGGGGCTCCCCACATTTTGTGCTGAAGGGCTCCTGTCTCCAGCTTCGCCCCTCCAAGTGATGGCCCTCAAAAGCCCCACATATCTGTGTTCCCCTCAAGAAACCACATGGATTTTCAATGAAAATGTGATGAATAAAATACGAGAGTCTTAAAAATTTAGTCCTCCAGGTAGCGGGCTTTATCCCCACTGTGGGGTGTGCAGGAGGTGGCCAATCAATGTTTGTCTCTCATTGATGTTTCTATCTCTCTCTCCCTCTCCCTTCCCCTCTTTCTAAAAATCACTTAAAACATTTTTTAAAAGTGTAGTTCCAGAGTTTTGTTTTGGGAAGATGGGAACGTTCTGGGGGGACAGGTGGTGACGGTTGCACACGGTGTGTGGCCCCGACGGCGAAGCTGTTCTGTGCGTTTCACTGGAGTAAACAGAACTCCAGCGCCTGGCTGCTGGGCTGCTGAGGCTGCGGGGGGTAATTTGGGTATCGAGACCTTCCGAACCCTAGAGGACTCAGTAAGTCTTACCTGCCTGTGCCTCCCTTCCCTGAAGAATCTGTCACTTTCTTACTAATCCCATCTGGTTCCCCATTGAGTGCTGTGCACAGGTGGCCGCGTTCCGCAGGGGGCTCAGGGAGCCGGGGGAGGCCCTGGCTGAGGCCTGACCTCCTGAGCCCCAGACCCTTCTCAGCCACACACATGCCTGGGGCAGCCCGGGGACACGACCGGGAGTGACTTGCATGGTGGAGTGTGAGGCCTGGGCCTGTAAGATGAGCATCTGTGCCTGCAGCGGAGCCCGTTTGGAATCAGTGATTGAAAACATCCCGCGGAGTGCGGCTGACGCGGCTCTTGGTGTGGGCTCTGCCTGAGAGGGGCCAGGAGGGCCTGCGGGTTTGGAGGGGGCCTCTCAGAGCGGAGACCAGCCCCCTGCTCAGGGTGTGGGAGCAGGCTGAGCGGTCAGAGGTGACACCCCTGCTCCTGGCCACGCCTGCCCGGGTCCCCCAGGCCTGAACACCCTGGGTGGAGAGCAGGAGGGAGAGCGGGTCCATGTGCACCTGGAGAGGGTGTGGAGGTTATGTGGGATCAGGTTGAGGGGTCACAGTTAGGAGAGAGGCAGGAAGACGGACCGGACCACACCCTCTCTGCACACAACCTGCCCGTCCCCAGCTCCCACGACTTGGGGCTGAGATGGCTGTCTCCAGGGTCCCTTCCCCATAGAAGATTGGGGAGGCTGTCCCTGGGTTTCGGGCACAAGGATCAGGGTAGCGTGTCCACCTCACAACTGGGCCCAAGCTACCTGGACCCCGGGAGTCCTGAACCACAACCAGAATGGGCGCCACCACCCATGAGGTGGGGCTACTGAGGGTGGGGCAGAGAGGAGCCTCAGAGATGGCACAGCCCCCCCGGGAAGAGAAGGGGCGCTCAAATGCCATCGTATGCCTCATGGGGGGCTGGATGCCAAGGCAGGGACAGTGTCCATCCTACCCAAAAAACAAGATAGAAAAGGTACGTGAAGAAATCTTTGGGAAAGGTAGAAGAGAAGCAGTGAGCGGGGTAAGGTGAGCATCCCCAGTACGTAGGCAGCACCGAGCCTGAGTGCCTGCTAGGATGGGACCCCTGCTTGGTAGAGCAGCAGGGAAACAGGATGGGTTCTGTGATGCAGAGTCCACACGATAACAAGAAGCCAGTTTCCCAGGAGGAGCACAGCAATTCCTGGGACTCGGGCCAGGAAACGCTTCCCTGCGTCCTCAGGACCCACTGAATTTCACAGGCTGCCGCGAGGCATCCCCAGGGCACCCCTCCTGCAAAGAGAATCACGGCTTCCTGGGATTTTTGTTACTAACGTCCCACATGGCCCGGCCAGTGGCGTTGTGCCAAGGTAAACTTTCTGTGGGGGAGAAGATTTTAACATCCCGTGTTTACATAGGAACATGTCGCTGATTCTAAGCAAACCTAATTGGGCTATTAAAGCAGGGCCTGGCCAGACTTGGTTGTCAGTAAATACTAACAGCAACAACAACAACAGCCCAGCCAGCATCTCCTGAACAATCACTGTGCCCGGAAGACGGTGTTAAACCAGTTTTACAGACAGTGAGGCGGGCAAGTTATGCTCTCTCGCTGACAGTTGAAGAAATAGACTTAGAAGGCTATTGTATAACCTCAAATGCCGCCCTCCACGGGGCTCCTTGTGGGAGGAAGACGGGAAAGGTTCCAGAGCGAAGGCACTGTGACCAGGTTGGAGATGGCGGAGGGGCCTGGCTGTTAGATTAGAGAGCTCAGGGGCCAGGTATCCCTTGGCAACACATCAAGTGTTAAGAGGGCAGGACAAAG